TGTACTTGTTATGTGCATGTTACAGATCCTAGTGATTTATTGGAGTGTAAGAAGAAGTCTGTAATTGCATTATGTACATCTGTAGGACATGAGATCAGATTTAAAGAAGCTCTGGGGTTAGGAATCTCCCTTTTGTACATGGTCTGGACATGTTCCCAATCCTAAAATAAGGTTCGAGTTGGAGTCTAAGTTAAAGTATGTAGTGAGAGCATTAGCTCATATGTAGGTATTCTCCCTTTTGTAAATGGTCTGGACATGTTTGAATGTTCAATAAGTTTATGGTTGTGAATGAATAAATTGGATATGTTCAATCGAAATAAGTTCATTGCAATCGTCAAAGACTACACAGATTAGACATGAAGCTTACAGTTGAACAAGCTTAAAATTGAACAAGCACCAAAACGAAAAGGACCATGACTACAAAGATTACACAGATGGTTAGCCGTCTTTGTAGCGCACAAATCGCATTTTCATACTTTGCAATTCAAGAAAACTAGCCGAAGTGATCTCTCTAACCTTCGTCAAGTCTGCAAGCATCGCCAACTTCTCATGTTTCCTCTTCTTTGCCTTCTCTTCTACCCTATGAAGCCGCCCTTGAAATGCCTCCAATGTCGACTTCAGCTGCTCATTGTCTTTCATTACACCATCACCCATACAATCGCTTTCTGTCGCTCTATCACCACAGCAACACAAAGTACCGGTTATTCTTTTCATCCATCCAAAACGGGCAAGAATAAAACAATCTTCCAAGATTGGCGTCTATGCGAGAAGTGTTGACAACGCATGGAGCTTTGTGGACTTTGCAACTTTTTCGTCTTTGTGTTTGACGAACCAGAAGAGGATGAATCTTGGTTGGCGATTTTTCCAACTCGCCTTGACATTATTGCTGGAAGGGTCTAAGTCTGATAGAAAGGAAGAAGGGAGAGCGAGAGAGGATCAAAAGGGAAAGGGAACCTTGTCGGAGAGTAAGGTGAGCGCGAGAGAGGACCGGCCGCCGCTGCTGCATTTTTCGTTTGGGATACGGTGGCGGCGGATTACCGGAGAAGAATAGTTTTTTGTGGATAGGGTTTTGTGAGAGAGGGGAGACACTCAATTCTAATAAGGGATCAAAACTAATTTTGGGTTTATTATTATTATTTATTAATTAGATAAAGAAAATAAGAAAAGAAATTTGTAATTTGATTTTTTTTATTTGGTGCTGACATGGTAGTGACTTGGCCAGTTGACTAATGGTCAACGATATTGACCGTCCAAATAGACGATCAAACCACGCGTCCGGCCAATTGAGTTTATATGATGTATAGTTGAGGTCAGGATAACAATTTCTGAAATCACGGGCCAAAATTGATTATATGAGTATAATTCGGTTCAGAAAGTACTTAATCATAAATAGAATACAATAAGGGTACTTATTAGGGATGTCAATTTTGACCTGACCCATTTTATCCGACCTGTTTGGCCTGTTTTAGGTGGGTCCGACCCGCCCATAGGTGGAGCGGGGCCGGCATGGGTACCTCTTATCGACCCGCCCCATTCTTGACCCATTCTTGTCTAACTTACATGTAATTTTAGTCAAATTATTTAGGATTTTCCTCTGATTACCTCATATTTTAGCTATATAAAGTTGTAAATAAGTGAAAACCTTCTCCAATAATTTAACTACATTTTGGTTTATTTCTTGGTCTTTTAATGAAAATAACAAATATTTCTAATGTTTTTCACGTAAATTAGATACCTATTAAGTCGACCTGCCCCAACCTGTGTCCCGTGATAAATTACTCGACCTGAACCCGACCTGCCACGAAGAGGATATGGATATCTTAATACCCGGACGATTGCCATTTCTAGTACTTATCAGTTATCACTCACAATTAGTGAGACCTACATAAATATCTTCCGAATTAGCCCCTTGGGCTTATTTCTCTTCGCTCTTCGGTTTTTATTCCGCGCAAACGGTATTTAGCTGGCAGGACCAGGCAGACGAAACATCGCCAATTCCCGTGTAATATTCCCCAACAACAGCAGAGCTCAACGTTGAAGCCGAAACCAAAGGTGAAGCCTTCCTTCGTCACTAGGGTTTTATTTTCTAATTTTTTTTTTCAACTGGCGAAATTCTTTTCGGATTTCTTGTTTCCCTATTTCCTCCGGTTTCCTCACTCGCACGTCGGGACATTTTCTTGATCTCTCGCAGTCGGCTCTTTCGAGTGGTATGTTTTATGTCAACATATGCTTGTAATTGTCGCCACTTACTAGCTCTTTCTTGGATGTATTACTCTGGTTTGATGAGTGAATTTTGAAATTGCGGTTTTCCTAACGTAGAGAGAGAGTGAGAGACAGCGATTTGGAAACTGTCACCTTCTTGTTTGTTCGGATCAATGCCTGCTGTGTGGAAATTTCTCGCTTCCTTGTCTGTTACTTGTCATGTAATAGTCTCTCTGCGCGTTTTTGACAAAAACTATTGGGTTTCTTGTTGGGTTTGATCTTTTACCTGAATTTTGAGATTGCGCTCAAGTGGAGGTTTTAAGGTTCTATCTCAGGTTTGACTATTATTTGCGGAGGTACTTGGGGGTATTATTTATTCAATTTAATCGGTTTTTGGGATTGGTCGATTCTTTTCATACTCGGGAGCTCTTTGTCTTGATAAGATTGGTGGGTACAGCTCAGATAAGTGGTAGACTTGAGATATTATAAATAAGGTCTTCTTGAACTCTTAAGAATTATTGCAAGTAACAGGAAGGGAAGGAACTGGAAAAATCAGGGTTTGATTGAGGGCTTTCATTCGGCTGCTATATATCCCTCCTTGTTTGTGTCGCTAGGCCAATCATTCTCTTTTACATCATCCCACATTTCTCTGTAGTCGACTCTGTAAGTTTCTCTATTTGCTGTTGCCTGCATCTTCAATTCTAGGCAGCTCAGAAGGCTTCTGGGTATTGGTTAATTTGTAGAAAGATATGTTAAATTCGTGTTCTTTACATATGTCAATTGGGATTGCATGATCTGGTATTCTCTGGATGTAATAGCTCAATGGCAACTGTCTGATGTTTCTTCTTGATCCTTTTTGACTGAATTGTTTGGTGGTTCTGTGGTGATTGTAGAGAAGATGGGTAATCTGTTTTGCTGTGTTCAAGTTGATCAGTCCACTGTAGCTATAAGGGAACAATTCGGGAAGTTCGATGAAGTTCTTGAGCCTGGATGCCACTGTCTGCCCTGGTTCCTAGGAAAGCAGGTGGCTGGCTATCTGTCTCTGAGAGTTCAGCAGCTGGATGTTCGTTGTGAGACCAAGACAAAGGTAAATTCCTTTTCCTTCGCTCACAAACATTTTTACTTGTTGCCTGCCACTATTATTGAATTGCTTGAGTTTTCCGTCACTAGTCTTTGCTGATGGCACCATTTTATCTGATCTTTCTGGTTTCTATTTACTTTGTAAACTTCATAAGCAGTTTTAGGATAACTCATGAATGTGTTCCAAACTTGTTTGCCGCCATGATTTCTCTTCGAATCTTTCTCCTTTCTTGCTCCAATTTCTATATTCTTATTTGCTAGTTTTCCCCGAAAGATGTATGACAGGCTACATGTTTGCATTGCATTGTCTTAGTTGGTTTGCCAAACTGTGGTGAATGGTGAATTTGTAGCTCTAGTAATGTCTTAAAATCCTTATTTTTTCAGGACAATGTTTTTGTTACTGTTGTCGCGTCTATTCAATATCGCGCACTGGCAGAGAGGGCGAACGATGCTTTCTACAAGCTTAGCAACACTAGGGGCCAAATCCAGGCCTATGTTTTTGATGGTATGTATTCTCCTTTGATCATATAGTTCATGACATGCACAACACGTGGCTTTTTTCACTACAATTATAGTACACTGGGAGGCTGACAATGGCTTTGTCTATTCAGTGATTAGGGCAAGTGTCCCAAAACTCCTTCTGGATGACACTTTTGAGCAGAAGAATGACATTGCCAAAACTGTGGAAAATGAACTTGAAAAGGTAATCTCATTGAATTTTGACCAGTTTGGTTTAGGTGAGTCATTGAATTTGCTCCTGTAATTCTAAGCATCAAGTCTATCTTCTTTTGCAGGCCATGTCTCACTATGGGTATGAGATTGTGCAAACACTCATTGTCGATATTGAACCAGATGAGCATGTAAAGAGGGCAATGAATGAAATTAATGCTGGTAAATACTTATCCACTGTAAATTCTTTTACTTTGTTTCAATAGTAGTACGTTGCTCATTGCCCTTTTCTTTACTTCATTTAGCTGCAAGAATGAGGGTGGCTGCTACTGAGAAGGCAGAGGCTGAAAAGATTCTGCAGATCAAGCGGGCTGAAGGTGAGGCTGAATCGAAGTATCTCTCGGGGTTGGGTATCGCTCGCCAGAGGCAAGCAATTGTGGATGGATTAAGGGACAGTGTAATTGGCTTCTCTGAGAATGTACCTGGTACATCTGCCAAAGATGTCATGGACATGGTCCTGGTGACACAGTACTTTGACACCATGAAGGAAATTGGTGCTGCCTCCAAATCCTCAGCCGTCTTCATCCCCCATGGCCCTGGTGCAGTTCGTGATGTTGCTTCTCAGATTCGCGATGGTCTTCTCCAAGCTAATGTACATTAGTAAAATAAACCTCCAATGCATATTTGTGGTTGTGGTTCTCTCTCGCTTTGAACAAGATGGCTATGGATGAAAATAGTTGGCTATGGTGTTTCTTTTTCTCCTTTTCACATTAGATATGAAGTCTTCTGCTCATTACCTGTATAGCATATATAGAACAACAAGCTACGTTTGAGAATGAATATGAATTTGTTTGTGTTTGAGGGATATTAGGGTTTCTGATGGACAATAATTGGTAATTCCTGCGGTATATCTTATTGATTCGAGAAAGAGGACAGCTTTGTGTTCTGCCATATGGGTTTTTGTACTATTAGAGCACACTGAACAGCTGCTTCATTGTCAAAAAAAAAAAAAAACAGCTGTTTCAATTTTTCAACCTATGAACGTTCCTCCGTTCAGCTCCATTTTATTCAATGTGGTCGTTTGCTGCTTTCGGTTGATCAAATCATCAATTAGATAATATCATACTTGTTCATAATTTCTCGAAATTGAAGTACTGTTCGCAGGATAAAAAACAGGACCAATCGGAGACAAACGTACTATGTAAAATGAAGAAACTAGTGATTTGGATTGCCTTCCTTACTAATTATGCAGAGATGATACTGGAACCCAAAATGATCCCTCTGTTCTAGGGCAAGAAGGACAATGCTAGGCCGACCTTGGAGAGTCTGCAGTTGTGGTCACTGGCTCTGAGCTCAAGCTCTGTTGAAGCGGCAAACATCAGCTTCTCCCACAGACCCAGCTGTATGAACGCTCCCAACTTGGCATCCGTGTCCACGCGAGCCTTCAAGAACACCAACTCAAACAGATCATGCTGTATGCCAACCGTCAAGGTACTAGCTCCATCTCCCGAGAAAGAGTGCTTTAGCTCTGCAGCAACGGCTGTCCTGGTTATGTCGCTGAAGGAATGGTAGAAGGAGGCTCTTAACGTGTCAAGTTTATCATCCCTGATAAGAAGATGGTTCATCGCTTTTTGGGTGACTGAAAGTTCAAAGCTCTGGAAAACAAATTAGGTGTAGAGAGGGGTTACTTACAAGTTCAGTGATGTTATGGGGGATGTGGTTCCATTGAAGCAGAGACCAGCACTGAAGTCGTCCAACGATTTGTTCGACACGTCAAAGGATAGCGCGGCTCCAATGGAGAAAAGATTGGCTCCAAGAAGGCCAGAGAAGCTGAGGATGGGGTTGTATGATTGTCCTGCAAAAGGACCTTGTTTAGATGCCTTCACCCCAGCTCCTGCAGTTAGACCAACATAGTCATCTATGAACCTTAGTTCCACCTGTTATTATTCGAATCCACTGTTAGAAGGTGCGCCAGTATCAAATTCTCAACATGATGAGTGGAAGAGCAACAGTACCTTGCTGGAATCAGGAATGGTAAATCTGAAGAGTGTTGTGAGGCCTGGCAGGATTTCTTGAGCTGTAAGATTCAAGGCAAAAGGTTACAACTTTCTCAAACAGGCTGAAGATTGCGTGAAGAGGTGATGAGAATGAGAGTTCTTACTTTCACAGGAGAGATCAAAGTTCCACTTAATCGACTGAAACTTGAAGTAGTTGGGCGGCTGACGAGCATAGTCTTTGTACAGAAGATCTGGTGGCAATTGGCAGAATAATGAGAAGAGTAGGAAATGGGATGGGGGAAGAAGAGCGAAGTGAGCTCTCACCTCTGGCATTCTTGCCAATGTCTGAGTAAAAACCAGGACAGTAGTAGTATCTCATTTGCTTCTTTTCGACACTTAATGGTGTTGGGCAAAAATTTCTTGACAAGAAGTAACATAAGATGTTGGTGTTCTCATTTGAGTCTTTAATAATTGGTTATTTGAAATGATTGAGAGACAAAGATGATGAAATAGAAGGAAGTTTCCTATATGTAACCAAATCTACCAGAAGAGAATTTCCATTCTCGAATGAAGTACCACAAAGCCTAAGGCTGAAATTTCCAAGAACTCCCGTGGCCATCAATGCTTGATTACTTATTAACATCCAATTTTTCGCCCACCTTAATTTTAAAGCACAACATCCACTTGAAATAGCGAGTCGATGTCATCAACATCTAATCGACCTCATCGTGACACAACTTACAGAGAGATTGTTCAATAGGACAATGACATGCTCCAAGCTAGACTCGTAGTTCAGTATTAGCTCCTTTTCGTCCCTAATATTTTTCAGATGATTCATTTGTAACTAGGTTGAAAGTGCGGGCGCCACACATGGTATTCAATTCTATTATATTAAGTTTTATTTTTGTAAATATGATGTAATGTGTTAAACAAAAAAATAGAAATTGTCATGATACAATGTTTCAATCGAAACAATATAATCTTAAATCACTTATGACTAGGACTGGAAGTTTGGTACCGGTATTTAGGATATATCGAATATCGTACCGAATTTATCACTATTTGGTATTACCGAATATCGGCTTATTTTGTAGGGATTGGGATTCATTTTGCAGTGCTATTCGGTATTCGGGATTACGGTCGGTATATACCGAAATACCGAGAAAATACCAAAAATAAAAATTAATGAAATATAGCACACATCCTTTGGTCATTCCTCAATCTTTCACAACTTAGAAGCCCACATCCAACTCAATTTTGACTTTCCAATATAAGTCACTCCCTTCCCTCACCTAACCTTTTGTTATTTTTATTACACCAAAGAGCAAACACTAGTATTAGTCGTCACTCAGCCTCTAATTCGTCAAATTAAAGATTACCAATGACAAGAATTTGAGATGTCACCTTTCCTTCATCCTCATTATCCATATCCTAGTTGTAGGCAAACTCAAGACTCTTTTCTTATTCTCTTTGCCCTAAATTAAACAATCAATATAATTTATATATTTAATTATTAATTGCATAGGTAATTAATTTCGTATTCGATAATACCGATTGAGATACAGAAGTACCGATTGGGATACCAAAATATTTAGGGATTGAGATTGGGATACCAAAATTATTTAGGAATTGTAATTGATTTTAGGGTGTAATTCGATATTCGATATTTGGTACTGGAATACTGATACCGTACCGATTTCCACTCCTACTTATGTGTTCAGCCACATGTAATACCAAGTTGAAACTATGAGAGTAAATAGACTTGATGGCGATGAAGCCTTAAATTCTAAAATGTGAGTGTATAAAAAATAACATATTTATGTACATAGTCGAAAAACTCAAAAAAAAAAAAATTGTCAATTGATTGGTAATTTGATAATGGAAAATCCTCATTGGAATACGCACGATTAGTCAACCTCTAATTGAATAGGCAAAAAACTAACAAAGGTTGTTGACTAACATACGGTTAGGTATATATGAATTCTATAAGTTTTGAGAAATTCATTTTGGAAATGAATTTTTTTTCGTGTTTGGTACATAAAAGAATTTATTTTCATTCTAAAATTTGAATTCTACAGAATTAAAACTAGTTACAGCAATTTCGAGGAATTGAGATAAAATTTTCAAATGAATTCCCTAAATATTTTCCTAATCATGATAAAGTGACATCATTGTAATTTAAGTTAAATTACTTACCGATGCAAGTTTGGCGCCAGCAAACACTTTTGCGCGCCTAGTTAATTCCTTCAGCTGGGTGCATTAAACTCTATATATATAACTTTCTGGTAGAACCTACACCCTACTTCCATCGCGCGACTCTCAATTTTCCTAACTGCGCAACACAACTTTCTTCTTCTTCTTCTTCAATTCTGTACCATTCATGCCACCGGTCAAGAAGGTTAGCTTTGTTTATTTTTTTTTTCATTTGCAGTTCTTAGATGGGCATTGTTTCTTAGATGTTGTGCTTATATATAATATGTGTTTTTCCTTTGTTTGTGATCATTTTATGTTATTTTTTTCTGTTACTATCTCTTCCTTTTGTTATGCTTATACCCTCTACATTGCAATATATTGAGAGCTATATATTATTTTGATTTGATAGAAATTAATAAGGGCGTAGTTGGAATCTTTTAATTTAATTCAATTTCCAATGTAGCCAAACATGATTTGAGAATTCAATTCATTTCATTTCTAAATATTTGAACATGACATACCAAACACAAGAATTCATTTGACAATGAATTCTACATTGTTATTTATTTTAAAATGAAATGAATTCTTCGATTCATTTGATACCAAAACAGACCGTAAATGAAATTATCTTGTAAGTTTGAAAGAATTAAAAAATAATTAATGAAACCCTAAACCAAGACTTTAATATACCAATTCGGGTATGAAAAATGCATCGCCGAAATACACATGATCGAAATACGCGTCATTAGCCACTCTCTAGCTGAAAAGTGAGAAAAAATAAAATAAAAACTTGTCAATCAAAGAAATTCAGTAATGAAAAAAAAAATCGTTAGAATATACGTAATTGCAATACATGTGATCGGATGATATCTGTGAATTTGTTGATCTGCTCTAGGTAGTGAAAAGTTGGTCAACAATTAAATGGTGATGGAGATTTGGTCAACAAATTAAAGGGATGAGAGTTTTTTTGACCAAATGAAAATTGACCTTAAAGTTTGAAAGAATTACAAAAAAAATCACTTAAGGACTAGATACTATAACAACACTCATTGTGTTGTTATTATAACAACATTAGTCTCCAACCAATAGGAAGTTAGAGTTGTGATGACTTTTTATTAGATGAGTTGACCTAGTATAAAATCAAAGCAGGGGTATAATTGTCATTATGAAAAATATATTTAAATAATAAATAAAAAATAATAAATAAAAAATATTTTTTTATTTCTGGCCCAAAATTTTGGTCGCCGGAATTCTGCCACCGGTCGCCGGAATATGCATTTTGTCGCCGGAATATGCTATTTTGTCATCGGAATATGCCACCGTCGCCGGAATATGCTCACCGCAGTCGGAATATGCTTACCGGCGTCGGAATCTAGTCATCGGGGCCGGAATATGCCTATCGGCGTCGGAATCTGCTGACTGACGGTCACCGGTCAACGACCACCGGATGTATGGTCTACATTGTGAGATTTATGGTTTGGTTTCTCATATTTTCGTATGCCTTTTGTGGTTTACTTTATCGTGTTTGTGGTTTGCATTGAGAAGTTTCTGGTTTGCTTTATCGTGTTTGTGGTTTGCATTGTGAGGTTTTTGGTTTGTTTTAATATATTTGTGGTTTGCATTAGGACGTTTATGGTTTGTTTTTTGTGGTTTGATTTACTGTGTTTGTGGTTTGCATTAGGAGGTTTCTGGTGTGCTTCGCAAATATTGTGGTTTACTTTGTGAGGTTTGTGGTTTGTTTTAGGAGATTTGTGTTATGCATTCGGAGGTTTCTGGTTTGCATTAAGAAGTTTCTGGTGTGCTTTCGAAACTTTTGTGGTTTGCTTTGCAAGGTTTCTGGTTTGTTTTAATATATTTGTGGTCTGCATTAGGACGTTGATGGTTTGCTTTTTCGTGGTTTGATTTACTGTGTTTCTGGTTTGCATTAGGAGGTTTCTGGTGTGCTTTCGCAAATGTTGTGGTTTGCTTTGTGAGGTTTTTGGTTTGTTTTAATATATTTGTGGTCTGCATTAGGACGTTTATGGTTTGCTTTTTTGTGGTTTGATTTACTTTGTTTGCGGTTTTCATTAGGAGGTTTCTGGTGTGTTTTCGCAAATGTTGTGGTTTGCTTTGTGAGGTTTGTGGTTTGTTTTAGGGGATGTGTGGTTTGCATTATGAGGTTTTTTGTATGTTTTTGGTGGTTTGTTTTACCGTTTTTGTGGTTTGTATTCTATACTTTCTGATGTTGTTTAAAAATATTTGTGGTTTACTTTGTGGTGTTTTTGGTATGTTTCAAAACATTTATGGTTTGCATTAAGAGATTTCTGTTATTTTTTTTGGTTTGTTTTATAGCGTTCCTGGTCTATTTCAAACAAAAGCTAAGAGGATGAATTAGTCATACATGCTCAGAGGTAATCCAAATAGCTCAGCAAATCTAATTAAATGTCAACTGACAAAGCCATTAGTCCATATCTGACCCAAACTTGGTTCTCCATAATCAAAATCCAATCTTAATCTATTGAAAATAACCCACCGTGATCCATGGCCCATAGCCCACCCAATCCTCCGGCAAAATCCTAATCTTCTCTCACCCTCCCTAATCCCTAGCCACTTCTGCTTCTCACCTTTTCTCATTTCTCTCTGTCTCACATCCAACCGAATTCAGAACAAAGAAGATAGGGAAATTGATATCGTCTTCCTTCTCCATCTATTATCTGCTTTTCACTACTCTCAATCAGCTCCCTCTCATTTTCTGGGAGTTTTCAACCGGAGAAGATAGGGGACAGTGAGCAAGAGCCTTACAGTGCCGAATGCCGATGGGGTTCCCCGCTACCTCCATCGGCACATTGACGACATCGAGAGCACCTTCATCGGGCTGTGGAACGGCGACGAGCAAAAGTCATGGGAGTCGAAGCACGAGGTTGGCATCCACGAGCTGTTGGATCTGAGGAAGCATGTGATTGTGACCGGTGACGGGAGGAGCTTGAGAAAGGCGTAGGTGGAAGTCTCGTTTGGAGGGATTGATCGCCGCCGGAACAGAGAAGGAAAGAGAGGACTTGCGACACCGACGGTGGAAGAAAGAAGGAACGACGGGAGATGAGGCTGGGGACGGAAGAAATTGAATACGAGATAGAAGCAGGCGACTAGGGTTTGGGATTTATTTATTTATTTTTAATTTGTTATTTCTGTTAATTTACTTATTTGCCCTTAATGAATTCTGTTGTTAGTATAACAACACTAAGCTTGTTGTTATACTATCCGCTCCCGATGTAAAACCAAATAAGAACATAAAAATGAGTTTCATGATAACAACACAAAAATATGTTTGATGAATAGTAACATATTATGTGAGAAATAAAAGAAAACAAAAAAGTTGTTGGTAGAAAACAAAAGATAAGATTGAAAACAAAAGTAAAAATATAAAACTAAAATGGGCCCACATGATTAATACCACTGAACTTATCGTTATTTACAAAATAACCTCTTAATCAATAGTAACCTAAAACCATAGATTTTATGTATCAATCTATCAATTTTCACGGTGATTAAAGAATGTTTGTCATGAATTATTTGATGATATGCCTCATGTCTCATGAAATGTATAGTTTGTTCATATTATTTTACCAAGTTACGTTTGCAGGCGACAATCATATATTCAAACTCACAAATCTACGGTCATCCAACATTCTTTTCTTACCGTCCAATTCGATACGTCAACAAGTGAAAATATCCACAAGTTTCAACTTGGCAGGAAAATATCTTGAAATCATCTTTCCATAGTATTGATTCTTGATTTATCTCTACAATTACAAAAAAAAAAAAAAAAAAAAAGGAAACTTACATGCAGATGAGTGACTGATGCAAGTCTAGCTAGGTTTGCCCCACCAATATTATCTGCAGTTTGTAGGGGTGAGATCTGAGAATTGATTAATTAGTACAAGTTTATTATGAGTTGATTAAAAACATTGCTATAATACATCATGTTAAGACTTAGTGATCCTCGGTTGGGGGTTCAGGATTAGGGTTAGTTTCAGCTTCATGGATAAGCTTGAGGATCTCTTCCTTCTTGAGGGCCAGTTCCTGCATCTTGGTCTCTATTTTTTGGAGCTTGGCCTTGAGCTTCGAAGAATCCTTCTTATCTTCAGGATTCTTCTTCTTCTTCTCTTGGTGCCCATCACCATCTTCTTCCTTATCCTTATCTTTACCTTCTTTGTCTTTCTTCTTCTTCTTCTTCTTCTTCTTTCCCTCCTCATCCTGCTGGTGATCATTCTCATCCTCCTTGTGTTCCTCTTCGCTATCAGGTTTCTTCTCTGACTCTTCTGTCCCACCCATTTATTCTGTTGTATATACCCCACATTCAATGTTACAGAACATTGCAGTAAGTATTGAATATACTTAAATCATGAAATGAAAAGAAGTGAGACGAAGGAATGAACCTTGAGAACGGCGTTTCCAGGTGCTGGTATTACAACCCTTTTGTTTGATCTCCTTTTTTTCACCAAAATGTGTCCGGGTATGGTTGACTATAGATATCTGTGAGGCTTCCTTCAATATACGTAAGGCAGTCTGTGGAAGAATTTTGGTGATTTATTTGATAAATGATGAAGTTGGATGGTGTGGGAATTTTGGCTAATTTGAGCTTTTTGTCTTCTTATTATTAGACTATTTAGCGAGAATGATGAATGCACGAATATTTCTGAGACTAAACTTAGCGGATTATTTTGTAGCGGTTTTGTTGTTGTTGAAATGCTATATGTAGCTAATTCAATAACCACACATTGAGGCATTCTCAATTTTATGTTTTTTCTCTTCAAGAATATTCAACAATATATGTCATGGAAAACATATAGTTAATTTTAAGGTCTAGTCATTATGTGCAAGAATAAAGTTTACCACACTTTATGTTCGAATCTCAGGACTAATAATCATCTAAAAGTCCATACAATTATCTTGTCAAAAAAAAAAAAAAAGTCCATACAATTATAGTTTGTAAAGTCTTAAGTTGAAAATAATAGTAATCAAACAATACTATCAGGAGGTTGTAATCCCGGAGGCACTTAATTTTTTTTTTGTTTTTTTGTTGGCTCCTGTGCAGAGTACGATAGGATAGGATCCTTTAATCTTTTCCTTTAATTTAGATAAGTATTTAGTATTTACTTATTTCTAGGGAGACATCAGAAATGTGAGTGTAATTATTATTATATTCTAACTGTGTGACCAAGAATTGGTACATGCATTCTTTCCTTCATGCGCGTTGCAATTTGCTGCTTTTCCTACTAACCACCCAATTGTAATTGCCCCGGTACCATAAAAGATAATAAGCCATGGTTAAACTTTTGATTATAGTTCATTCTTTATATTTTTACGGTCACATGAATAGGATGGTCAGTGATAGGGCAGAAATTTGAACGAAGAGTGTTGGTTCAAAATTTGGTAATTAAGAAGGGGGAGTTAAAGCCTTACTTACTATTATATTTCGATGTTGATGTGAATTATAGCCCCTTCTAGGTTCAACCTAGCTCCACCACTTGGATGGATAGTTAAATTGATTTTTCAAGATTAAGAATGGTTGGTTAATCAAAGATGCTTTTTATATTATTATTAGTTATTACCTTGAATGGTTGGTTAATCAAAGATGCCTTTTTATATTATTATTAGTTATTATTTTTTTGCAGTTCGATGCCTTGGAAAAATTGGAACTTAAGAGAATTTGATCTACCATTAAAAAAATTAGCAAGAAGAAAATGTGTGCTTTATATAACATAAAATTGTATATATGTAAAAAATTATCATCATTCGTACCGGTAATCCATTTATTTCATTTATATAACCCAAAAGCGTATATATATAAAAATTATCAACATTCCTATCGGTAATCCATTGATTTCATGTTTGTTTTCAATTTATATTTATAGTATTGTTTGGTTTTAGAATTTTTATCAAATGTATTTTTATGTTGGAGTTTTAATTTTATTGTAGTTGTTGATGTATTTGATATTGGAAGCCCATAGTATAAATGTGAATATTGTGGAACAATGATGTGAAAGGGTGAATGTACCTAACCCACAAGGAATTTTTTTTTTTGGTAGAAGACAGACGCTAAAGTGTCCTAAATCATATCATTAACATCACGACACATGGAAACTCCCATGTTATCGTACAAAAGCCAGTAGTACAAGTTCGGGTCGCTCACGTCGAACGGATGTGTGCCAAAAGAAAGGGAGTTCCCCTTGGAAGCCGTAGTAGTAGAGTCAAGGTTGAGCTTAGCAACGTGACCATGACAGTGACCACTATTACTCCTATCCTTAATAATGGAAATCACAGTAGTAGAGTCAAGGTTGAGCTCCACTCTTCTGTGACCAAGCTGCCAGGCCATTTCCAGCCCTTCCACGGCTCCTTTTAATTCAGCTCGAGTAATGGTACACCTCCCAAGATTTCTTGCAAACGCCCCTAGGCATCTTCCCAGGTGGTCTCGAACAAGGCCCTCTACAGCAGCATGACCAGAAGGTTGGACAATTGATCCATCAGTTTGAACCTGAACCCAGCCTTCTTTTGGAGGTTTCCACGCAATCTCAATTCTGGATTTGGTCTTGTACACAGGTGCAAGGCATTTCTCAGCATTGATCCAGGCTTGGTTGTTAATGTTGATTTAAGCATTCACCCTCTGAATCAAACCCTCTTCCGAGTAAGTCTTGTCATCCATTGCTTCTTCATTTCTTTGTTTCCACAAGTTCCAGCATATTATGCCAAAATCAATTCATGTCTGCTGATTTATTATATTCTTAATCAACTATGTCTGAAAGTCTATTCTGTTGTCATTCACCTTAAGCTTATTTCTGAAGTGTCTCCAAAGTCCAACAGTTTTTCCACATTTTCGGAGAATATGCTCTGTTGTTTCTTCCTTTGTTATGCAGTGGTTGCACATTCCATCTCAGTAAGCTTTCTCTTTTCTCTTTCCTTTTTTGTCAGCAGCCTATTGTGGTTTGCCAACCACAGGAAATGCTTGATACGCCTCAGACCCTTCCATCTCCACAATTCTTTCCATGCATCAATTGGCGTGTTGTCCACTTCCCCGACCACCAGTGAGTAGGCTGACTTGAGCTTGAACCTGCCATCCTTCTCGATTCCCCAGACTGTTCGATCCTCTCCTAGCACAACATTAGGCGCATATGTCCCTGCAATAAGAGAGATTATCTCGTTAGGGAGGTATAACCTCATTCTATCCCAGTCCCACTCACTTGAAGCATCAGCCCAGCTGGAGACTGATGCACTCAGTTCTTCCTTGGTAAACTCTTCCAGTGCAAACTCCTCCAGGATTAAGCCATTCTCCACCTGGGGGGTCGGTCCAGAACCCAGTTGTTTCCCCATTCCTGACACTCCATTGGGTGGCCTGTTTCATGTAGGACATAACTTTCATAATTCCCTTCCAAAGACTAGAATGGTTACTACTCTTCATTTTTGTTAAAATGTCATTCTTATGATGAAAGTATTTTCCTTGTAGCACTTTAACCCAGAGAACTTGTTCATTGTTAAACAGATTCCAAGCAAGCTTAACCATGTATGCTAAGTTCAAACTCCTAGCCGATCTAAGGCCAAGCCCCCCTTGTCTTTAGGCTTACACACAGAATCCCATGAAAGCATATGCACTTTCTTTTTACCCTCAACCGTAACCTAGACAGAGCCTCTTATTTTTTGGTCAATTAAATAACAAATCAAAAGAGGGAGCATAGACGTTTGCATAGCATAAGAGGGAATGGAGCTAAGGACAGAGGTGGCAAGAGTCACCCTCCCTGCCAATGAGAGGGATCTTTCCTTCCACGAGGAAAGCTTCCTATCCATCCTCTCTAGGATGTAATTATAAGTATTCCTAGACAATCTACCATGCAAAACAGGGACCCCAAGGTACTTCCCTAGATCAGGGGTAGATTGGATTCCCAATTTATCACAAATAACTTCCTTTCACAACATCTAACATTCTTAGAGAAAAAGACCCTAGATTTCTCTTTACTAACTAGCTCCCTTGAAGCAAGACAAAAAGAATCCAAGCATCTCAGAACAACCTCAGCTTGCAAACAGGAAGCCCCAACAAAAAGAACTAAGTCATCCGCAAAGAATAAATAGGAAAGGGCAGAACTATTAGCTGACAGTTTCACAGGTTTCGAGTTTTTAACATTCACTTCATGAAAAATGCAGTGGCTAAGTCTTTCAATACAAAGAGTAAATAAGTAAGGGGAGAGAGGGTATCCTTGACGAAGGCCTCTTGGCAAGATCCACTTTTAAAAGCATAACTCCTTTTTTCCCAGTCTTTCTTGCCATGGAATGAACCGTATCCTGTAGAATTATGATGTTGTCAGTAATGTGCCTACTATAAGGAACAAAGCTTGAATGGTTGTGGTGCACTAGAGTGGGCATCAGACCCTTAAGCTTGTTAGCAAGGCATTTAGCAACAATTTTGTACCCTACATTGCAAAGACTAATAGGCCTAAACAGGTTCATTGAGGTAGGGCACTCAGTCTTAGGTATAAGGGCAAGTAGAGTTTGGTTAACCAATCTAATATTAGAATGAACAAGAAAGCAGGAGGAGATAAAGTTAGAGAGGTCTTCCCCAATTTGGCCCCAACATTTCTGGAAGAAGATGGTCTAGTAGCCATCCTTGCCTGGTGCCTTGAGGCCATTCATGCTTCTCACAATGACTCTTATCTCATCCATGCTTGGGGGAGTGCACATTTTGGTAGCTTCTCCTTCCTCCATTGCTGGAAAGTTGACAGGGAATTTCAATCAACCAAAATTTTCATTGTACTACACACAAATCAAAGTGAACCTCCCTTCTCGAAGGCAACCTCCAGAAGTTTTGAGTATGCTATTGCAAGCAATTACTTCATATGGACATTGCTTTTTGGAACATGTCCGAGGTTATAATGAAGTCTTCACTTAACTTCTATTTTGGAGGTAAATCAGACTGATCTATAAATAATGGACACAGAGTATATGTTTATTCGATTGAAGGTTAAGTATATCATCGATCGGTATCCTAAAACCTACTCAAAGGAACATACCAAAATTTTTTCAACTCTTCATCTATGACACTAGCAATGAATTCCAAAACCGTTTAGATTTTTCTACACATATAAGTTTCAAATCCTTTGTGCAATTCAAAATTCCAAGAGATGCTAGATTCACGTAATTTATTAGTAGTTGTAGAGTTATGTCTCATTCAGTTTTCAATTTGTAAGATTAATCTTGATAATGTATTCCGACATATATAGGAATCACAAGAAAGAACTAGATTGGACAATTTGTTTTTTCAACAAAATTGAGATTAGATGGTGGAGAAGATATCGAGGAGTTCATGGCATGATGATCGTTATTGATAGTTTATAACACCCTAACTACTGTTTGACCTTACAAATATTATTGTTTGCCATCTTACATTGTATAAATTAATTCATGTAAGTCATGGTGGAAGAGAATTGTCAATCAAGAAGAAAATGTGTTATTAGTATAAAATAAAGAACATATACATGAGTTATTCATTAAATTGTCAATCAACAGGTTATCAAATTCTGTTGGCTGCTAGGTTGCTTATCATTGTTAGAGAGATAAAGCAAATATGAAAAAACTTTAAGGACATAAACATTATTGTGTGAAGATGATGCTTTTGATACAAGAGGGATCACAAAGAAATCTAAAATTAATTTTGTTGTACTTTTCTTTGACATAGAGGAGAAAATAAAGTGGTTTGATTAAATTTTTAAGTTCATTTTTCTTATTTTGGTATTTTTTTTTGTCAATGAGTTGGTTAGGAATTAATATAATCAAGGAGTACGATTTTTTTTTGATAATTTTGATGATTAAATAATTTGGAATTTTATATGATATAGAATAAACATATATTTCTTTTGAAAAAATTTTATTGTTATTTATACAACTAATAAAATTTACCCGCCTAACATGCGGACCCTAATCTAGTTCTCTTTGGGAAATATAAAACTAGTTGAATGTTTATTTAACTGTAGAAACGTTGGCCGTGTATGTAAATATACCAGAAGTTAGAGGACAAGTTGTTAGTTTAGTCTTAGTAAACCCTACTTAATCACGTTGATTGTAACGAGTATATATAGGGAAAGGTGAGCTACGGCAGCAACATGAAGGTAGCAAAACTATAGTAAGTTACATAATAATAATAATCCCAAAAACTCACGTTATTCGTGGATAGCCTCGTTCATATTGAAAGGTGAAACCACATATACCTGGTGTTTTGTGTCGCTTTCGAGTTATATTTCTTTTTTACATGGCATCAAAGCTGTGATTGATCACATATTTTGAAGTTTCGCAATGAGTGGATGATAACACCCAAATTGATGTTATTTTCTCTTTATGTTTATGTTTCTTTTGTGTTTTAGGGTGTTTTAGAGGATATATGTGAATTAGGTACGAAAAGGGGCACAAGAGTAGAAAAATGGCAGGAAGTTGAAGATCACAACATGGACTTGGAAGATCTCGGCCGAGACATTACACCGCGAAGAAGGAGAGATGATCATGGCCTGAGGATAATAGTTTGCAGCCGCAAAATTGGAGCTCTTGGGCGCAAACTTCATGATGAAGCCAACAAAGAAGGAACGTAAACTTTCGAAGGTCGGATCACGATCACCGTCATCCCTGACCGCGAGGAAGTTTGCAGCCGCGACTCACGGATCACGACCGTCAAGTCAGCTCGCAAACTCCCAAGAGATGAAGACCAAAATAGTGACGCCTGAAGATCAGAGCCTCAAAGCAAAAGCTCACGACCGCGATCTCCCCCTGCTCGGAAGCGAACTCGTCCGTCCCTCTGAAGTCTATAAAGTATAAATAGAGGACCTCTTCTCCCATTTTAAGAGAGTTGATTTTATCGCTACTTCGATGGAGTTTTAAATTTATAAAGTCGAAGTGCACTCACTATTCAATCCCAACAAGGCCAAGTATAACCTAGCTAGGGATGTTGTAAAGCGGTTCGGTCGTATTCCAAGGGTACCCAAAGTTTAATTTTACTTCACTCCGAACTACTACCTAGCCGAATAAGAAGTTTGGGTGAAGAATCTAACCTAAGCTACTCCTAAACAACCAACCAAGTGGTTGGGAGACCGCTAAAATGAGATGGTTGCCTAAAACATAATTCCCCTAGCTATAGTCGGTAAGTTGAGTTTAAAGGTTAAGGTGCGGAACTCTCTAATCTGGGGATTTCTCCCTCCTCGTAGCGTTACCCAAAAAGACTCAATGTCACCTCGATCTAAGTTTCCTCGCTAGGGATGCTCTCATAGTTACTGAAAATAGGTTGAACCTATCGCACCCTACTAGGGAGAGCCTCCCAAAGCATCATTCTAGGAAGGAACTATAGATGCAGGGGTTCGGTCGCCTCATCCACCTCAAAGCCCTAAGATAACTCACTATCACTAGTTTGTCAGATGGCGCATAGCCGTCGAACCGTAAAACTCTGTACCCAGCATAGTAGCTCAAGTAGGCTAGTAGGGAAGATTAGGGCGACTTACCCAAGCATAACTACCAACACATGAGGCAAAAATTCGCTAGAGCAACATACCCATAGATAAAATCATTCAAATGAGCACTTTTACTATGCTATAAAGCATTGGTGCTTTAATGTACAACTTGAAATTGTACCATAATATTAAATGTATAAATTCAGGTTGTACCATACAGGAATTGGTACCCTTATGTTATGGTACAACTTTAAGTTAAAGTTGTACCATAACATAAGGGTACAAGTTCAAGTTGTACCATAAAAGAATTTGTACAAAAGAGTATAGATACAATATGAAGTTGTACCATAACTTTAAAGGTACAACTTCAAATTGTACCATAATGGGAAAAACCTATAGCACCAATGCTATATAGCATTGTAAAATTCCCTGATTCAAATACCTACTACAATCTATGATAAAGCACTAGGGGGTGCTTTTGATCAAAGTAACACAGCAATCAAACAATCGAACCATAAACTATGGACATGTAGAATTCTTGCCACAATCAAGGTGTTTACTCGATTGATAAGATAACTTGCTAAACGGTTCTGGAATCGTCCACAAAATTGCTTGAACAAGGGTCTTGAATTAGCTATGTAATCCACACGTAGCTAAGACAATAAATTGATTCTCGAGCCAAAGGTCCAAGAACACAAACACTCCTCGGAGTAATTTTAATTCAACCAAAAACTAACTATTACAATGTAAGTAGAATGCTCTTTATAGTCAAGAAAACCTAATACAAACCGAAATGAACAACGAAAAAAATAAGATAAAAGTATACTCTAAAAAGGACACAAAAACTCGGCCATAATTCCCTTTCTTTAAGCACAAGCAAGCTACCTTTTAGCATAGGCAAGCTGCCAGAAAAACTGGCTTCGTAGCAAATTTTGAGCTCTTCGTTCGAAGCCTTAGAGGTAAGCACTCCTTCATCCAATGCCTTGTATTTGTAGATTATCATATGTACTTTCATGTGCTATGAAGCTTGTAAATTGATTCTCAATGCTCTTCCTCGAGTGAAGCTCCAAAGTAGCCTTCACAAACACGTTTCCAAACTTGGCCATTTTCAGGCAATTTTCCTGTTTTGAGAGGGCAACTTTAAGGCTTTGGAAAATGACCTTAATGACTTGTTCTGGATTCACCAATGCATCCAGCATGTAGATAAGCACTCCATATTTAATACAAGCCCCTTAATCTTGAATTTTCATCGAGCCAATTGTGAGAACCAAGCCTCCAAATTATGTTCCTTTTTGCCACTTGAGAGTGCTTCTTTGTCAAGCAATAAAAATGTGTAGCGTTGGCTATTTGGGATCATATCAATCTAAGGTTCATCTATTTTGAACAACCATTAGAGATTCAAGTCATATATATATATATATATATATATATATATATATATATATATATATAGAGAGAGAGAGAGAGAGAGAGAGAGAGAGAGAGAGAGAAAATACGAACTAGAAGAGATGGAGTGATGGAATCAATCTTCTTCTTCTTGCTTGCACCTTGTTCTTTCTCCTTGGGTGGATTGAATATTCAATGAAGCTCTCCCAAGGTGTTTCCCTCTCTAAAATACTCCAAAACCCTAACTTTCTCACTCTAGGGCGGCTCTCTCTTTTTCCTTCAGCAGCTCCACTATTTATAGATGCTGGAATTTTCGGGCAAGATCACAAGCTGTGGGCGAAAGATCGCGGGCACGAACTTTTGTGTCCGGCCACAATCTGTTTTCACGGTTAGCCCGCGAGATGAGTGGGCAAACTCTCTGTTCTTCCAGCAGCATTTCCTCCTGAAGTTTGCGGCCAAAGCATTCGGATTCGCGGTCTTGATCTTCCAGTCTTGTCCCGTGAACTATAAGGTACCTGCGCGCTCAGACGAGAACTTGTCCCCTTCAGTTGCATCTCTCCCTCATAACCAAGAATGAGTTTTGGTAATATTAACTTGGCACCATGATATTGACAAGGAAGACACATAGAAGCTCAACATTCCAAAATTTTAGTATTTTAACTAAGAAAAGAGTCACAAAATTATTAACGATAACGTAAAAATGGCTAATAATTTAATGCATTACAAGAGATTTGGCTCATTAATAGCATTTTAATAGATTTGGCTAATAAAAAAGAACCTGAAAAGGGTTTGGCTAATAAATAGTTATTACCCTTAATATTAATGTGAAGCTAAACGCTAAATTCAACTTCTAAATACTAAATTCAACTCCTAAACCCTAAATTCAACTCTTAAACGTTAAATTCAACTTCTAAAATCTAAATTGGCGACTGCAAATGACTAGGCCAAAAAAATCCAACGCAGGTACCGGGCCAAAGGATTCCAACGACCAAAACCTAATCGGGTCGAAAGATACCGATAGCCAGAACCATAACGTGGCCAAGCCAAAGGAAAATTCCGGCCGATGCCAGGTAGAGCCGAATACTTCCTTCGGCCGAGCCTGGCTCGGGCCAGCTTTTTCCGTTGGCCTGACTAGGTTTGGCTCTTCAGATGATTGTTGCGGCAAGCATTGGTTTTTTATGATTGAACACTTTTTCTGAGAGTTTGATATTTGTTGTAGTTCGTGAAACTCTGCCCGTGGATCGTGTTTTTCGGTCAACTCTCCATGTGCCCCATCACTTGAGTTCGACAGAGATTAATTTGCCGGTGTGTATGTGGGATGGGCGACGCGGAGTGGTTCTCATTCTACTGGTGGAATAGTTATCATGACCCTTACTAGGGAGATCCTCTTCGCACATGGGGTGATACTGCTGGTAACCAAATGGAGGCTATTCTTGAAGAAATTGTGCACTATTTTTCTTCTCATTCTGGTTTTACTGTTAGATTTGTAGGTCGGCAAAACAATAGGACAACCCATTTGGTGGCTACGAAAGACCTTTCATTGTACCCGACTATGAGTCGTTTCTTTGATTATCAGGCCTGGCTGATCTCCAGGCTATAACTACCTTTGTTTCAATCAATATATGATTATCTTTTGTAAAAAAAAGTAGTTCGTGAAACTCCTATACCGAGACGTATATATAATAAATTTTTTGATTGGCGGCAAATAGTAAATAGTAATGCAGGCAAATAGTAAATAGTAATGCATGCTCATGGCCGCAAATAACATTTTTTTTAAACTGATCTCACACACCCTTTTGAGTATACATATATGTGTATTTGGCTTTGCTTCTTGTTGGTGCCATTAGTTAATTGCACTCTTCTAAATTTCTCTTTATAAACGCGCAGAATCCACTCGATACGTTGGCATCATCCTTCAAACACTGCATACGAAACGCACAACAAACAAGGCACAACGAAGTTAAGATTGTAGCCCTTAAGTAGAGCATGTGGACACTAACGTAACTGCCACAATGTTTTACAAGAGATATGATGCCCTGTGGGTTGTAATAATTAATTTCACGAATGCACTACAAGCTAGCATCTGCAAGACAAGTTTAGCTAGAAATAGGTTTGGGCTGATTGATTTAAAGTTAATGAATGAATTAAATGATAATTGTAAACGGGTGCAAGCACATATTCATACAATGAGTGGACTGGACATAATTTATAAATGGTATATATGTATGATATACCTCAATATAGATCCTCTGCAGCTTCTGTTTATAGCATGGATCGTTGGCTAAAATCACAGGTTCCGGGGAAATAGAATCTGCAAGAAAGAATTTAGCAGCAGCATTGTTACGCAACAGTTGCAATCCATCAATTAAAGAAGACCGAATGAAGTAATTAATATGAAGTTTTTCATACCAGAAGCATCTGTATGAGGAATTCGTTTGGACCGAGCAATATGAGGAGGATCTGCAAACAATCATTAGAGGTGAGATTGAATGGCGTTAAGCAACCGAGAATCCGACCGATATCCACCACAGTTATAAGTAATGCCCATAACCTGTGCCCTAGCAAGCTGCAACTCTGACGCGCGCAGTAGAGATAGATATGTCGCAGCAGCAAAAGGAAGATGATGCATTTATTAATTAATTAATCAGAGAAATAAAACAAACCTCGCCAATCGCCGGCGAACCCTGGAGGGACGCAAGGGTCCGGCGCCCACCGCTGAATCCAATGACTGCAGATCGATCCCCAGTTGCCGGTTCCCCCTTCCAGATCCCTTTCTGGGGGTTTCAGGCTAATATACCCATTCTGTATCGCAACTATAAATAATACGAAGCCGCTGCAGGAAGACATTTGATTTGTCTGTCACACGGTACGACGACGGAACTCAGAGGCTTATGCAAACCCTAACTGGCCCTCAAACTAAAACCAATATCCTTCCTTGGTGGCTCCTTTACAGTTCCAGACTTCCTTCTCTGATTTTCTTTGTATCTTCAGTTTGATGTTCCTAATCCTGGATGGAAAAGATCGGGCCGGCCTACCATTGCGTTCAAACGAAAAACTCAACCCACTGGGCTTCTTTTTATATAGGACAACCCACTGGCCTTTTAGTAGGGGTGGCTATACGGTCCGGTCCGGTTAAACTGGTCCGAATTGATTCGGTCCAGTCCGGTCTTTTTGAAAATATAGGGACCAAAGCTTGGATTGGATACCAAACACCCAAGGGACGAACCAAAGAGAGAGAGAGAGAGAGAGAGAGAGAGAGAGAGAGAGAGAGAGAGAGCGATTTGAGGGCATTCTTGGAGTGGAACTGTAGGATTTCTTCGCCTTGGAAGCTCGAGGAACGAGCCCGGACTTGAAGACTGGTTATCTGAAGATTCTTACTGCAGTCTCTCTCTTCTTTATGGAGTAACTTCCCTTCACTTAGGTTTTGAGGAACCCTAGCTATGTTTGTTTGATAGGATGATTGTATGAGTACTCCTACTTGATAATCTTGAGTTCATATTCAATCTATGCATGTTTTCATGATTCAATTATGATTTAGTCGAGATTATTGATTCTGCTTTGATCCTATGAGAGCGAATACCTGATTAGGTCAAAAGAGCACCATAGATTAATAGTATTGGATCGATTGCTTTAGTCGAGGGTCGATTCACTACTTTATATCGATTGAGAACCTCATTTGATAGAGGGAGTCTAGTTCAGAACGCCTTGATCGATTGTTCTAGAGAAGGATACGTCCCTCTTGGCAATTGACTCAAGAGGGCTTTGTTCCTTTAGTCGAGACTCAAGGTCTAGTCAAGGATTCTCCGCATTGTGAATGAAAGTGAAACAGGTTAGAGATCATCAATCATTAATCTGGCTAGTGGCTAGGGAGAATCATACCTAAGTGAGTTCCCTACCAGTAATTAGATTAAATTTAACTGTAGTTTGTTAGAGTAGTTTTAGTTTTTCCATCTTAATATGGTTTGCTAGATAATGAACTGAAGCTGAGTAATAGTAACTCTAGAGACCCGTCGATTCGATATTTATTACTTGAGCCACGATACTGTAGTCACTTCCATTGGTTACACTTGGCCATTGTTAGGTGTTGTGTCATAGCGAGTCAAGTTTTTGGCGCCATTGCCGGGGACTTTCTAGATTATTAGGAAAGGCAGAAGTTTGTTATTTAAGCGTTTTTCTTTTCTTTTTCACCTTTGCTTTTCACTTGGGTGTTTTTGTTTTTGTTGGTGCAGATCTGAATCATGGATCCTCATGGCTTCTCCAACCATTGGGGGTATCCACCACTGATAGACCAATAATTACACATGTTTCTACCCCAATTCTTGAGCCGTTTGAGATGTCGATTCCCGCGTTTTAGGCCGATTTCATGTTAGGTTGTTCGTGTTTGTGATATTTCAGGTCCTAGCACATGAATTAAGGCCTGGGAACGAGTTCGGGGTCGATTGGACGAAGATTGGACGTTTGGCGAGAAGCTGGGAAGCCACATGGGCACCATTGCACCTCACACGGCCGTGTAGGGGCCCCTTGTGGCCGTGTGAAGGCTCGGTAAAAGCCACACGGGCAGCCTGGAGGGCCACACGGCCGTGTGGCCTCTGCCCGTGCAGCTTGCCTGGTTGCCCACTATCGAAACACTGCGTTTGGACACTCACACAGGAAGCTGGGGAAGTCACACGGTCGTGTGGCCTGGACGTGTGAGTCGGGAATTTCTGGTTTTAAGCCAATTTCGAGCCAAAGGAGAGGGGGAGCTGGGTTTTGGATCCCAAATACCCAAGGGACGAACCAAAGAGAGAGAGGGCGATTTCAGGGCATTCTAAGAGTGGAATTGGAGGATTTCTTCGCCTTGAAAGCTCGAGGAACAAGCCCGGACTTGAATATGAACTCAAGCTCTGAAGATTCTTACTGCAGTCTCTCTCTTCTCTATGGAGTAACTTCTCTTCACTTAGGTTTTGAGGAACCCTAGCTATGTTTGTTTGATTAGATGATTGTATGAGTACTCTAATTTGATAACCTTGAGTTCATATTCAATCTATGCATGTTTTCATGATTCAATTCTGCTTTAGTCGAGATTATTGATTCTGCTTTGATCCTATGAGAGCGAATACCTGATTAGGTCAATAGAGCACCATAGATTGATAGTAGTGGATCGATTGCTTTAGTCGAGGGTTGATTCACTGCTTTGTTTCGATTGAGAACCTCATTCGATAGAGGGGATCTAGTTAAGAACGCCTTGATCGGTTGTTCTAGAGAAAGATACGTCCCTCTAGGCAGTTGACTCAAGAGGGCCTTGTTCCTTTAGTCGAGACTCAAGGTCTAGTTAAGGATTCTCCGCATTGTGAATGAAAGTGAAACAGGTTAGAGATCATCAATCATTGCATCAATCATTGATCTGGCTAGTTGCTAGGGGGAATCATACCTAAGTGAGTTCCCAACCTGTAATTAGATTAACTTTAACTGTAGTTTGCTAGAGTAGTTTTAGTTCTTTCATCTTAATCTGGTTTGCTAAATAATAAACTGAAGCTGAGTAATAGTAACTCTAGAGACCCGTGGATTCGATATTTATCACTTGAGCCACTATACTGCAGTCCCTTTCATTGGTTACACTTTGTCTTTGTTAGGAGTTGTGTCGTAGCGAGGCAAGTTTTTGGCGCCGTTGCCGGGGACTTTCTAGATTATTAGGAAAGGCAGAAGTTTGTTACTTTAGCGTTTGTTCTTTTCTTTTCTTTTCTTTTCCACCCTTGCTTTTCACTTGGGTGTTTTTGTTTTTATTGGTGCAGATCTGAATCATGGATCCTCATGGCTTCTCCAACCATTGGGGGTATCCGCCACCATCTGAGTGGTATTACCCCGAGACTCCCTGGAGCAATCAAGGAGGAGAAGACTATGGATTCAGGTTCCAGTACCAACCCCCTTACTTCGGAGAACAATCAGACCCCTGGGCATATCAAGAACAACCTCATTATCAAGAAGAATTTCTCCTACAACCAGAAGGGCCATCGGAGCTGGAGTTACCCATGGAGGCCTTCACGGGCCATTCTGCAGAGCCATGCTACACTCCACAGCCAGATCCAAACTACGAATTGAGGCTTTTCATGGAGAGATCATGCTCTAGGATGGATCATTGTGTCCAGGCCTTTCGTGAAACAGAGGAGATCCTCCTGAGCCTTAAGAAGAGCGCCGATGATCTTGAGCGATCTTTGGGAAAACCTGCTCCAGATCACCCTTCTGCTACCATACAAGAAGAGGAGGAGGAAGAAGAAGGCTACAAGGACATTGTGGAGCACACTGAAGTTGTCACGGAGGGCTCCCGTGATGACTATGATCCGGAGTGTCCTGTCGTAGCCGACCACACCTTCCCACATTCCAAACTGAGCTTTGAAGAGGCGGGCATGAGTGAGGAGATGCAAGATGATCTCATCAAAGAAATTGCTTGGCGACTTTCCCTCCAATCCGTGTTGGAAGAAGAAGAGCAAGAAAGGTGCAGAAATAAGTTGTGGAGGATGACGAAAGTGAAGCAGAAGGAGTTCTTGATCTTTTCCCAGGGGTGATACCACATGAAGAAGAAAGGGAGGTTGAAGAATCAATTGGCGTCCAGGCTAAGGACGGAGTTAAGGTGGAAGAGGCCTGCACCGGCCATGAGTTACATGTGATATCTCCACCAAACTTCGAGGAACTACTTAGCAAGGACCCATTTCCAGTGTCTCTTTGCCAGACCAAGGCCACTTCGACATCGGTCCCTCTTGGTGGACGCGATGGTGGTCAATCGATGCTGTCATATCTATTTTGGGGCAATGAGACGAGTGAAGAGAAGAAGAGGTCTCGAGGGTGGAGACTTCATCCGCATCAAGTGCACGAGCTTTCATCTCCTGTCATACCACATGCTCGTGACTTGAGACTCCACCTCATTGACGAGAACCTCAACTTCAAGGAGGTTTTGGGGTGGACCGAAACTTAGGAGCCATCGTCCGACTCACGACGTGAAAGAAGCGCTTGTTGGGAGGCAACCCAACCAGTCGGTTTCCATTTCTTTCTCTTTTTATCCTCGGTTGAGTCAGTTTTGTTCTTTGATTTTAGAGTCAATAACTCAACCTTTGTGAGATTTTGTGTGGTGTTTGTGTTCCGACTACTCTCTCCTCCTGGAATGCACCGCCCAACCCGTCCACCATCATTCACCCTTGATCTGGTAACTTCGTTTTACCGTCCTTATATTTCTTCCATTGAGGACAATATCGTGCTTAAGTGTGGGGGGGATGTTCGATTATGTATGCGGGTGAATGTTTGGTTGTTTGTGTGCTTGGAGCCTAGTCCACTGTCCAAAATTTTAAATTTGAGGGCTCCAAGTACGTGTTTCCTTGCAAATTGCCTGCTCAGTATGCTTTGAATTGACAGTCTCTATAGTAATGTGCAACCTAGGGAGGTAGTGTAGCACTATGGAGGATGTTGAAGTATAAGATTTTTCCTATCTAGCTCTCTGTTGTGCCAGTTGATTTTGTGAATTCGTGGAGCTAAGACCGTTGAATTCATGTGGTAATGGTGTCTGATTGGATTGTGTTATGGACTCGTGTATCGAACATGGTGCTCATGTGGGAAATGAAAAGCAGTTGGTCCTTCATGTCGAAATCATCGAAATCTTAAACATGGGGTAAGCCCAACGTGTGTGGCACCGTTCATTGCACAATATCGAGTTTTGGAAGAGATTTTAGTGATCCTTAGTGGGGTACTCCTACAAGGTGAAGCTAAGCTGTCTCTAGTACAAGTAAAATTTTCACCCGTTGAACGGTTTGCCTACTCGAGGATGTGTTTTTAAGGGCACGGATAGAGCTTCCGAACCCCCTTAATTTCATTGACCCTCCACACGAGTTGAGGAAAAGGAGTTAAAAGAAGTACTCTGGTGAGCGCCAGATGTACAAAAACTGCTCTTGCTCGACTAATAAGGGTCGACCGTTCAAAAGGCTGCAGTTGGAACCCCCGCCAAGTGAATGAAGAAAAAAAGAAAATAGAAATGTAAAATGAAAGTGAAAAAGGGGTTCCAACGGTGAAATAAAGTGAAAGAGCACCC